AGTTTGATCCCCAGTACAAAAAAAAAAAACAAAAACAAAAACAGGCTGGATATAGCCAGTGAGACACACTTTGCCTATTATTGCCTCAGTTCCAATCTCTGCATTTGGTCTCGGACAAATCTCCTTCCAAATTTATTGAAAGACCCCTGTGAAAACTGCTGACACCATGCCAATTCTCTGTAGTGTGTGGATAGTCCCAGTGGTTATCCATATATGGAAGTAGAGTCTTCCCTAGATCTACTTAGAACTTTCATTGTCAGCAACATGCCTTAGGCTCCACCCACCTGGGGGTCCTTACAGTCAGTTGTCCCTAAGTTACCATGTAAGAACAAATAAAACTTCAAAGGTCCCTGTCAAAGTACTTACAGTTTTGTTGGTAAGTAGGCTGCAGTATCATCTTTATTTCTGATAATGTCATTACATTTATCGAGTGTTTGAAAAACTGTGAAAGTATCCCCAATGCTATACAGGGCTGCAAGATTTTTAGCTAATAATTTTCGTGTAGGTGGTCCAGGTGAACTACTTATTAATCCAGTTAACTGTTCAACCAGTTTTTTCTGCTTTTCTTTTACATCAGTCTGTTGTTAAAAAAAAAAGAGCATAATCATTTTTATGAGGCCTTTTGTTCCTTTTTAATCAAAATTTAAAAATACTTAACACTTAAGGTACTCTATTAAAAGATATCTTACAATAAACATAAACCATAAATGAGAACTTTTATAATAAAAAGTTTAGTAAGAAATGAACTATTGCTTCTTACCTTAAATCTTTATTCCCCTCCAATGTCAAAAAGTTAGTTTCCAGTAAAAGTAATTTTCCTACCTAAAAGTTTCTAGGCCACTTACTACTAAATAAGCCAACAAAGGAGTCAAAATACTGGGCATATGGATGGATAACTGATGCTTTAAAAAACAGTCAGGTTTTCCCTAAAAAAGAAGTCAGTAGTTCATGAAGTTACAGGTAAGTGAAAGCAAAACCAAAAGAAATTCTGAAGAACCCCTGGCAATAGAACACAACACCCAGATCTACCTATAATCAATATCTAGAATTGAGTCATTCAAGAAATGCTTACTGTATACTTATGCACCATTCTAGATAGTGAGACAATGGTGAACAAAGCAAAGTTCCTACACTCATGAAGTTTACATTATAGCAGGGAGGGACAGAATTTGCAAATAACTATAACTGCTTTCTTTCTCTTTTGGGGGGGTAATACTGCACAGAGCTACATCCCAGCCTTTTTTATTTTATTGTATTTTTTTGAGACAGCATCTCACTAAATTGCCCAGCCTGGGCTTGAATTGGGATCCTCCTTCCTCAGTCTTTCAGATGCTGGGATTATATGCATGCACCACCACACCTGGTTTGTTTTCTATTTTACATAAGTTAGTTACAAAAGACCTCTCTGAAAAGTGAAGGCATGAGCTGCATAGACATCTGGGAAAAGAACACTCCAGGCAGAGGGCACAAAAAGTACAAAGGTTTTGAGGTAGAGTATGTTTAGCACACCTGAAGGCAGCAGGGCCTGTTTAGGTGGAGGGGACCAGAAAAAGCCAGGCAGTATAGAGTCATAAACACCACTGTAAGAATTTTGTATTTCATTCTGAGTAAAAGTTTTAAGCAGAGGCAAGTCATGATCTAAATATGTTACCAGACTCATTCTAACTATCGAGCTGAGATTACCTGGTATAATACATGGGCACAGTGAGCAATTAGGAAGCTGCTGCATAATCCAAATGAGAGATATTAGAGATGTAAATGATGAAAATATATGAATTCTGGGTATATGTGCAGATAAAAACGTAAGATTTGTTGACAAATATGATGTGAAATTTGAGAAAAGAGAGAAGTACAGATTGACTTTGTCTTTGGGCCTGCACAGCCAGAAGGATAAAATGTCATTTCCTGAGATGAAGAACACTGGGGAAAGGGTAGGTTTAGAAGGAAGAATCAAGAATTTGGCTTAGATATGTTTACTCAAAGATGTTATTTAAAAATCGTATAATTTCGGTGGATGTATTATGCCTTATAATTTAAATATATACTTCTGTACTTATCAATTTTGCAACAAAACAATGTTTCAAGTCTTTCCAGGTGGAGGATCAGCTATGTCAAAAGATAGAACTGGCTTAAGTAAGACAGAGTACTACCCGCATTTTGCAATTTTTTTTTTTTTTTTTTTTTTTT